AAGTGCTGAATAATAAACCTAGTAATAGGTAACAAAAAAATAGTTAATACAAAGTTTATAGAGGAGCGTTTTGCGTAACCGTTAAACAGTCAGATTGACGTAACTCGATTAAACGCGGCACAAAAAGTTAATTTCATAAATACCTTAATAAGTTGGCACTATGTGAATACTATGGTACACAAACTAGACTAAATTTTATTTAGTCTTTGCAACTCGGCTGGAATCATTCACTAATATATATGCAAAAAAAAACATTGGTCACTCTTGACCATAAATTCAGGTTAAAAATCCACACATTGCATCCTGCGGGAAATGTGACAATTCTCGATCAAGAGTCAAAAATCTCTCTCTGCTCTTCCGGATCACCAATCTTCTCTCGCCGTTCCTGCGGTGGGGTGGGAAGGGACCATCTCGTACTGTCTTACGTCATCACACTCGCGAGTTTCGTATTATCGACACATCCTCACAGGGGCGGCCAGTCACAATTTGCCTCTATTATAGTTTATAATCGCGAATGTCTATTTCTTGCTGATGAGCCCTAATAAGGACAAAACCAATCCACTTAATAAGCAAAATCAAACTCAGAGTGTTGAAAATAATTTTCTACCTCTGCTGTTTTCCAGTTTGATGTACTTCAGTGCTTGTGGCGCTAATAGCCAAAGGAATAGTTGTTTTCAGGAGGGAACCGGTCGCTCGACGTTTCTATGACATTGAAGGTACCATTTCGGAAGGCGCGACAGACGACAGACGACAACAGAAGCGACGGAGAAGAAGACAGGCGACGCGAGAACCGCAGATAATCATTTGAGAGAACGATCAGTGTTGCCAGACCTACTATTTTAAAGTAGATCCATCTACTATTTTTGTCTCTATTCTACTGTTTTAGTTATGAAATCCACTGTTTTCGCCAACTTAACAAATTTTGTTCTTAGTTTATTAAGTTTGCCTCGTTCTTTAGAAAATGGTCAAACAACATTATCTCTACTAAATTTGCTGAAGTAAAAGCAGCGTAATAAGTATCCGCTGCTGTAGGTTTGCTCCATAAAAAACCTCAAGATAATCATTGTTTTTATTTAAAATGTAACAAAGAATTAATAGGACATCATTAAAAGAACATGCATGCCAAACACAACATATTTGAATTATCTGATTCAGACTGATCTAAAAGAAATACCTATTATTTTTCATTGGTTTTTTTTTGTTTCCGAACGTTAAGTATATATTAGAAATTTTTTTATTTGTTTTTATTCTTTACTTTCTAATTTGGGTAGAAAAATTATTATTTTTCGTTTCTTATGTACTTGTTTTTTTTTATAAACTACACTGTAAATTATAATTATTTCCCCTGTAATAAAATCTACTGTTCAGATCTACGGGTTTTTTTTTCACCCATACTGTTCCAGCAAATTTTCAACTGGCAACAATGCCCAGGATAGAACTTTGCATCCACCATTTCTATAAAATATCGACTAATCAACTCGATATGCAAGATATGACTAAGCGAGACCTGCAGCAAACGCTACCCCGAGACCGATCTATTTGTCGTCGACTTGTCTCTCGGACTGGTCGCGCCTGGCGAAATATGTTTCATATAATAATTGTATGTGTTCAGACGTGAAGGACCGTTCTTGGTCTCCTTTGCCATCGCGTCTGTTGTCGTCTGTCGCGCTTTCCAAAATGGTACTGTAACCTACCGCACCCAGGTACCTTAATAATTTAATAATTCCATTTATTAAATATAATAGTACATTCTTATTAAATTCAAAATCCTTCATTTAACGAAAAATCTCTCAAATAATTAAATCTTATTTACGACACCTAATAAATAATATTGATTTCTACTTTATCATTAAAATCTAACTAATAATACTGAAGCACCAGTTAAAAATTAAGTTTTTAATTTAAAATTTTAATTGGTTTAACTTTTAATTTGTTATTATATTTGTTTTGATACAGAATTTAATTGTTTTTTCTTTTCAAAATTAGTCATAACAAAATTGATTTCGTATACGTATCGGTTTTTTTCACACTTCATTTTTCATTTTTCACACTTCACAAAAAAATAATGTTGAGTTATCATGGTTAGATCAATTCGGCCGGATCCGGATAAAGGGAACTATACCTAGGAGCGTACCAAATACAAATCCTACAGCTTCGGTAAATTATTTTTAAGAAAATTTAAATAAGATACGTGATTTAGTTTATTTGGCAGAATGATAGGACCAAATATATCATTTTTATTTTATTATACCTGTCTAAATATTAATTGAAAACTGGTACTGCAATCTATTCTAATTGGGTTTTTCTTCAGTCCATCCGGTATGCAAATTATACAAATTTTAATAAAAAAAAAATTTGAAAAACAATTAAAAGTCTATAAAGATGACAATAGCATACTAGATTTTTAACAGATTTATTTTAAGCATTTACTAGACTAATTTTGTTTACAAAAAGAATCACGGTGTTATATACGTAGTTGTCCAATCATTATGAGACAGTATGGGAGAGTCTTGTTAAAAGGATTTTTAATGGTTATAATTCGGAATTCACCTAACATTAGGCTCTAAAATGCAGGAAAGGCTTTTAAAATTACACTAAGGAAGTATATTTGCATTTCTAGATGTCAGTTATTATGAGTTTAATATATTTTTCTCATTGCAACTATTCTAGAGTTAAAGGTAATTTTCAGGAAAGTGCACAAATTATTTTGATGTGTCTTAGTCGTTGTACCTTATATAAACAAGCTCGCACAATCCATCCCCTTCAATTTAACAGCTGTCTCGCTTTTTCTAATGCGGCAGCCGATGCTACAACTCTATCTAATATAAAACACAATCTGAATGCTTGCAATAAATAAGGACTTAATTACTAGTAGTTTTTCTTCATTGTATTTAACAAAGTTTGATATAATTGCATTGTCTAAAGAAAGCCGAAATCCAAAAAATATTAAAAGCTACCTTTTATTAGACATTTTAGGTACATTTTACAACCAAAATTTTATTCAAATCGTTAAAGTATTTACGGAACCATGTTGATAAGAACTATTTGTCTTATTTTTGTGTAAGTCATCACCTGACGAGCGAAACACCCTGTTCTTATATCATATGAGTTTTTGTTTTTTTTTTTGTTTTTTGTATAATATTATATTAGACATTTGAATCAACTGAGCATTTTAAGTATTATAAGAATGATTGGTAGAAAATGAGAGATCTCTTTTATGAATTTAAATCAGACGGATACATACTCGTATAATACAGATACGGAACAGTTATAATTTAATAGATATTTAACAAATAATTCACTGCAAGAGTCCCTATACCCCGCATTTGACAATATTCTAATATCGCTCTTTTTTGGACGACTGTAAATCCAATTAGTTTGGGTTTTCACGGAATAAATTTGCAATCATTTTCCATCCATTAAAAATGACCCTGGGCCTGATTGGATAAATGATACAAAGGACACTTTGTTATATTAAATAATTTTTTTTAATTAGTCACTTACTCCTTTTCAATGGAATATACGCAGGGGCTTCTTTTAAAAAACACCATCATCACAATCACTAAATGTTTTAAAATATAAATAAATACTCTTTAGTAATAATGAAACACTAAATAGAAAACCCAAACATAGCGTATTAAATTATAATAGTCATATTTTTCTTTTTTACTTTCAATCTGTTTGAAGGTAGGAGTAATCACTTATGTGAGAATGTCGTGTGTAATTTTTTTATCGTCCGTATTAAATAATAGCTAGGTAGGCTCGTATTTAATGTAATAACTTTGACAATGAAATAATATCGACAAAGTACCTACATTTAATCAGAATGAAAAATAATTCCAAACTTTATAGTTTTCTAAAAAGATAATTCAAATATGTGCGTGTGTGTGTGTGTGTGTGTGTGTGTGTGTGTGTGTGTGTGTGTGTGTGTGTGTGTGTGTGTGTGTGTGTGTGTGTGTGTGTGTGTGTGTGTGCGTGCGTGCGTGAGTGAGTGAGTGAGTGCGTGCATGCGTGCGTGCGTGCGTGCGTGCGTGCGTGCGTGCGTGCGTGCGTGCGTGCGTGGGTGCGTGCGTGGGTGCGTGCGTGTGTGCGCGCGTGCGTGCGTGCGTGCGTGAGTGCGTGCGTGTGTGTGTGTATAATCCTAATTAATCCATAAAATTACTACGATTAAAAGTATTTTTAAATAAAATATATTACAAGTAATTTACCACTTAATGCGAATTTTCAAGTGTCATACTACTAGAGGTGAGATTTTTTTGAGAATATTTTATTGTTTCTTTGAAAATTATACGTTTAAATTACACGAAACAAATTCTTTCATAAACAAGACACGTTAGTCGAGTATTTTGGTTGCATTTTGTTGAGTGAAATTTGTAAGGAAACAACAAAATTTTTTTTGAAAAAAATTCTTATCTTCAATCAGATTCCGACTCTCGTCGGTACACACCAATGCTTATCCCATCTCAGCTGCATTAATTCCTCTCATAGCCACTCCTATGACATAGTGTATAAGGACGATAATATATATAATCACACAATAGTTTGGGACATACTGAGAATGCAGTATGGTCAGGCACAGGCAATGCATTTCTAATGGGAGACCAGCAGGCTGTGTTGCCGTCTTTCCGATAGCTGTGACAGGGTCGGCCCAGCAGTAGTCAATGTTATGAGAGCATGTATTCTTGGTTGCATATATTAGGACCGTTTGTCCTTCTTGATGTCTTATTTCTGCAGAACGGAAGCAACCCACAAATATATATATTTATATCAGTGTTGCCAACGCAGGGATTTTACCCGATTTTCAGATATTCTTACTGTGAAAGGGGGTAAATTGAAGAGGAAATCAATATTTTTTTTGAAATCTTTAATAGTATTTTACGAGATCCTTACTCAAATAATTAGAACGGAATAAAATTAGGTTAGATTAATATAAATAAACAGACTCCTTTAAAAAAATTTAAAATTTTTATTTAATATAAAAATTTGCAATAATTGTATATTTTTGAAATAATAAATTAATCTCTTTTGACATTATTCCCTCCTAGGATTCATGTAACTCCATGGAATTATTTAAGTTTCTTTAAGTTTAATATTTTCGAACATTTTGTTCTACTTTCAGCAGTTTTTGATACAAAGTTCAGAATTAATATTACGTTTCTTCAGCATTGAATGTTTTGTTATTATGTCCATTGATGTCATCTGTCTTTTTATATTTTATTTCCGGATTATCCCACGGTTGAAGCTCGCCAGTACCAAAGCATATAAAAATTATAGATCCCAGTAAGTATATACTGGCAGTTATGTAAAAAATTATTCGCCATTGTTCAACACTGGTCTAAAACAAAAAAATAAATCAAATATATACTCCAAACAAAAGAAAAACACTATGAAATGAAAGACTGAAAAACTTGTATCTCAACTATAAACTAAAAGTAAAATAAATCTTCTTTCTCCTCCATTTTGTCTTAAAAATGAAAGTCTGTCCCAAGTCTTATTTTCTCTTGTTCAATAAAATCAGCGTAATACCCGATATTTTTTTTGTAATCACAGCAAGTGCCAAAATGATCTTCTTTATGTAACCAGTTACATAGTATTAAACATTATGCAACTGGTTACGAAAAATTCATTATGTGACCGGTTACGAAAAGAAATTCTTCTTTTTCTCCTCCAGCCGACTCTGATGTCTCTTCTTAGACATAGGCTTGGCCTTGGATCTTTCCTACGAATATCGCCAAGGTCAAATGATACCCTTTTTATAACAAATCTTTTCTCAATATTATCGATTCATCTGCTTTGTCGACTCCATTGTTCTTCAAATATAGTGCAATTCTCTTTTTTATCTATTAGGTATATTCTACCATTTCGAAATCCTCTGATTATATTTATTACCTAGTTACAATTCTCATTCTATCTTTCGAGCGTATATGTCAAACACGATTCTTTAACAACCTCAATAATAATCGCATTATTTTGAATCTGAATATTATAATATTCCATTGCCTTCATTCGTTCAATTCTTCATTTTTTTTTATTTTGTACAATGTTTCTTTCGTTTTCTCAACGCATTTTTAACTGTTGTCAAGATGTTTATTTGTCTATTTCAATATTTAACTTATTTTCATTTTATTTTCTTAAAAATCTGAACTCTTGAGGCTTTCCAGATTTCTTCAGTTATCACCAATAATGATCTTGCATGCACGTATTTTTGAAAAATGTTTGTAAAATATTTTAAACTTTTTAATCTATATATAATATTGTCGCTCTATGCCTTGGCTCTGTTTTATTTTAGCATATCTTATGTTAAGTCTATTGTTTACTTCTCTGCACATTTTGGTCGTTGCTTCTGTCAATCCATCCTTTTTTTAGTCAACTCCCTCTATTTGTGTTGCACTTTGCTTCAAATACTATTTGGTAAGTCATATTCAACATCTGACTCTTTTATTTTTGTTTTAAATACTATTTTTTGGTAAAATGTCTCTTTTGTTAAGTTTCTATATTTATATAGGTACTTTGTTTTTGTTTTGTTTTTTTACCTTATGTTATGTTGGGAATAGGGTGTAAATACACTGCCACCTAAAAGATCTAGTGTGCCCCCTTCTGTCGCTAATGCACCAAGGAAATGTCCCAATGTCTATAACGACCCTTCAAATCCTATCTTCTCAAGGAAGTGTAGGATTTGGAGTGGCTTCAAGTTAGGTAAATCTACCTCTTCTATTTGATATGCTCCTAGGTATAGTGTTCTTGGATTCTGGAGTGCTACACATTTAGTTTGAATGTAAATGGAGGTTTCGTCCTCCTCCTCCTCCTTTGCACTCACTATCTTTTACTACTCTCAGTTTAATAGGGTGCCCCTTTTAGTCGGCAATGCCCAGTAAGGATCCTCGTTACAATATGTAGCCTGCTCTTGCTCAGGCAGGTGCAGGCTTCCGATCTTTTCTGGTTACATTCACCCAGAAGTATCTTAGCCTGTCTCAGCCTTAGCCCCAAGAGTTGTTCCAATTATCGGTTCTTCTACTGCCCAATTCTTTTTTAATCTCTCCTAATATTATGTTACTGTTGATACCGCAGAACGTCTTTGGTCCCACAAAGGGTGTTTGGGCCCCTTTCTACGAAACTATCTGCAATCTCGTTACCCTGTACCCTGTTATATCCCGGGACGCAAGTGAGAGTAACTCTGTTTTTCTCGCCTAGCTCATTCAATTGTTCTAGGCATCTCCAGACCATTTTTGAACTGATTACCTCAAGTGGTTTGTCTTTTATTTTTCGTAGGCAATTTCCTGTTTTTTGTGGTTTTCAGTCCAAGTATTTAAGTACCTAAACGTGTAAGTAGATTATTGACCAGTTTTGTCTATATGTTTTCCAAATATATTTTTTTTACTTAGTTTATGTACCTTCACTTCAAATCGTTATACCTTTTAAAAGTATTATTCACATAAAATAGATGTTTTGATTCATCAAAAATCTCTTTTAAATACTAAAATTCTAATAACTAAAGAATGTACTACTTACTTCGTCAGTCACAAGGTAACCTGTTATAATTGGACTTACAACGCCAGGTACTGTTGCAAGTGTATTCGCCATTGCTGTTATTACAGGTCCATAATTTGGGGCCATATCCAAAATATTGACACTAAAAAAGCCAATTTTCAAACATTATAAAGAATTCTTACGAAAGCATAAAAGAGCTGAAGGAATTAAAAATTAAATATAGGTACCAAGACTTTAATGCTGGTAGTGAAAGAGTCTTAACAAGTTTTAGCACTCATGCAATTAACTTAAATTAAAAAACGTTATCAAGTGTACATAGAAACAAAAAATGATACACCAAAAATAGTGGTTTTATTAATTCATTACCTACCCAACAGCAATAGATGAATTACTATTTCAGATTGAAAAACAAATTCTTCGGATTTTTAAGTATAAACCAGCTCATTAAACTAATAATAATTGAATTATTTATATTATACCCATTAACTGATAAGTAGGGATAGTGTGACTCCGTGCTCGAGTAAAGCAAGTAATACAATTTCAAAGTGGCATATGTCACATGAACAATTGTACACAGACCATAGACCGATCAGATTTGATCTAACTACCCCGCCTTGCATTTCAATCAAATAAATAAACTCTAGAGAGTTGAACTATTAATGGTAGAGCATGGTGAAATAACAGATAAACAAAGCCTTGACCAAGCAGAAAACTAAGTAAGGTTATTATAACCGCTTACGAGGAAACATGTCCTGATTATGAAGACTAGACAGAAGGGGGCGAATCGGCAATGGTCAAATTTCAAATTTCCGTCCTTCTATTTATAAAGTTCGCGAAATTGACTGTAGTTGGCATGTCAAATAACAGCGGTGTCAATTTTCTATGTAAGTCAATGTAAAATGAAGTATTTGTTTAAAAAATTGGTGAAAAGAATCAAAGTAATGCGAAAAAAGTAACATGAGTGACAAAAAACATCAAAGCAAGATGTACGTCGTTCCAGATTGTAAAACAGGATACAAATCAAATTTAAACCTAAAGAAAACACAAGAAGAAATCAATTCAACGTCTTTTTAAAGCTTCCAATGTAAGTTAAATAATGTATTTATGTCTAAATATAACATTTATTGTAAACTAGTCACAATATGTATCTTACGGAGTGTAGTTTATTTTATTACAAGTTACTATTTTATAAAATTTTTATAGAATACTAAACACAGCATATATAAATCGTTCCTAGTGCCGATAAAGCACTTACTGATGGTACTGTTAGAAAAATAAAAAGGGGAAAGGATATGGCAATACCATGTACATTCCCAAATCTCCCTTTATACTTGTATTACAACAATAAAAATCTATTAACTGTATTTTATTTTGCGCTTAAAACTATATATGTATATATATAGGTTAAAAAAAATTGCTTCAAAATTGTACTTGGTCATACCTACCCACTTTGTATTTTATATAGATAAAACTAAACAATTTATCAATTAAGACATGCAAGACTTATTTAAAAATAAATACAACAGTATGTTCTGTGCTTTATTTAGCTATAAACAAGTTTATTTTTATTATTTTGACATTATGTATAATTCTCATAAAAAGTCATGTATTTTAAACTCCGTAAGCAGTACCAGCGCCCATGCGGTTAATTATAAAAGCTGAATTAGAATTTTTTGAGACCGTATTTTGGGTATGCCTATTCGCCTCCTTATCTCTAGTCTAGTCTATTCAATAAAATTAGAACCACCAGAGACTGGGCCTATATATAGGACTAAACTTACGCAGTACAAGAAGAAGATAAGAAGGCTAAAAGACAAGTTCTGTGAGGAGTTATCTAAAACACTTACATGCTGTAGAATCTAGAGAAGTCCTAGCTAAAAAAGGAACTGCACACCAAGTAGGATTTGGTGATGAAACCTATACAAAAACCTTCGAGGCAACGTTGAAAATGCTCACACATGCAATCTTTCCGGCCGCAGAAATGTTAGACTCAATGGTTGTATACAGCTATCAAAGAAGGTCTAGTATGCAACTTCTTTGGAATGGATGCTAGCTATGGAAATATCAAGGCTAAACAAAATTAAATATGCTACAAATAAATTTCAGTCATACAAATCCCATTCTACTACAAAAGGGCCAAGAAACTTTAATTCTACATATCATACGTCGCATATTTAAAGCATGTATTGCCTGGCAACATATACTACAGGCGTGGTAGAAGGTGAAAGCCATACATCTTCCTAATCTACGTAGGCTTAATGATATGTCACCATAGTAATACCACCCGATTAGTATATTGTCATTCAAGTTGAAAACGCTAGAAAGAATAATATATAGATATATACAAGACGAAATACTGAAAGGAACTTCCCTCAGCGATCTTCAATGTTCATATTAGCCGGGAAAGTGAACCGATTTGGCCCTAAATGATCTTAGCAGGCTATTTTTAAAATCTCTGGATGGTGAAGAAATGACAGTAACAACTTTCGTAGATATTAGGGCCGATTTTTTAATATTGCCCATAAAAGATCTATAATTAACGCACTAGCAATGAAAGAGATACCAGTAGTCCTGTGTCAGTATACAAAATCCAGCCTAGAAGAAATGGTAAAAACATCATCTCTAAGTGAAGCTACATTGACGGCTAAAGCAGGCAGTAGCTGCCCCAGGGAAAAGTACTATCACTTCTTCCATAAAAAGGCTAGTAAAGTCTATGAAATACCTCAAGTCTATTTGTTTTCTTTAATGTTTAAATGTAAAATGGATAAAACAAAAAATTACTAGATTTTGGCAGTCATAGATTAATTACATAATGTTATTATGTCAAAAGTATTCCTATTTTAAGATACACAAATCTATCCTCGCTCTTGGAAAGAGGTACAATTAAATGGCCGCAAAGGCATTAAATATTTCACAAAAAACTATTTATAGACTTAGTAAAGCAACAAATTCTGATACAGAGTATGTGAAAATAATATCTAAAAAAGTAAGCCAAAGTAAAACAAACGTCAATTCTTTAATATTAACGAAGTTGAGGCAAGTTATATATAAGATGTACGAAGATGCGCAACATGTAACAATGAAATCGTTACATAAACGATTTTCGGAAGAAATGCCTGATGTGAAGTGTTCTGCACGGTCAATTATTACATGGATTCGAAAAATTGGCATTCGCTTTAAAACAAGACAGTTTTTATTGGAACGAACATCGATTCAGTTAAAAAAATGACGTTTTAATTTTTTTTTTTAACAAGGAGATGGAGCTGAGTAACTCTACGCCTATATTTATGGATGAGAGATGGGTATATAGCAAGGAAAGTGGCAGAAAATGTTGGCACGATGGTACGATGGCTACGGTAAGTAAAAGAACAGGAGACTTCTACTGCCTTGGGTATGCCGATGACAATATCGTTGACGAGTGAGGCGGAGAAGAGGAACCAACTGTACCCCCCTCGCAAAATTACAATAGTCGACTTCATTAACCGAAAGGTACTAACAGAACTAAATTCACCAGTACTGAAAGGAGTGAAGATTCCATTTGCCTAAGAGGCCAATTACATGGGCGTCATATTTGACCAAATCAACCCTTGCAAAAAATTACCTAAAAATGCACAACATATGTCTAAATTAACACCACTACGCCGGCGAACTACCTACTTTCTAGTATATTGAGTCTACTAAAAAATACCAAACTAGAGAAGGTACTCTAAATAACGATCAAAGGATATCCACAATATACTTGCAAAGGTTGAGGAGGTAAGCCACATGGCCCACAGTCCTAATTAAATAAATCTATTTAGGGGTAGGGTAATAATCTATCTAAATTATAATTTATTCTATAATATCTAATATTAAGTAAAATGAATGTTGTAACGTAGATTCTGCAGTATTTTGCACTTTTGCAAAAATTTTGATAAAATAAATTAATTTTTAAAAAAATATCGATTAGATAGTGTTTCTAATAGATGCCACAAAATTAGCAAGAAACTTTAAAAGCAATGAATAATAAATAAATCACACGGAAGTAAGGATCAGCCAAAATATAAGGTCAATTGTTTTTGAAATGATTGACATAACTATTTCATCTATAAATAATTAAAGTCTTGAGTTTGTATCTCATTTTGATGTGTACTTCCACATATTCAAAAATTTGTGTTCATCCATTTATAAAGAATGTATTAAATAAAATGATTTATATGAATTTTCAGATTAGATTAAAATATTGTTTTATTTGTGTTATGAGTCTTACCAAAACGCCGACATTGCAAATCCTCCAAAGCCGACTGCAACTATTAAGCAGAAAATGGTCCCTAGTTTTGATAGCCAATATACTGAAATAACCAAAAATAAACATTGGCCCATGAAACCAACACCTATAAATATTTTCCTAAGCTGTGTTATCGTAAAGCTCTTTCTCGTTGCCAAGTAGTCAGCTAAATGTCCAGAGGCTTGTAGAACTATGGTTACCGCTATATATGGAAGTGCGGACACTGCACCTGCAGCGTTTAGGTCAAAGTTTAGACAATCTAAAAGAGAATAATTTTTTAATTAAAAATCGTGCAGGTGTCCTTAAAAATTGAGATTTTTTATTTTCTCATAGTTCATCAGATCCTGACCAATTGTATGTGAAACTACCTCTGAGGTATCCCCTTTCTAACAAGAAAAGAAACATAGAAATCGGACAACGTGATAAGTAATTATCGCTGAAAATAGATCAAAAATGAAGATTTTGATGATTTTCTCATAGACCCCATTATTATATTTTAACCAAATTTTGATAGAACCACCCCTGGGGTACCCCCTTACTAACAAAAAGAATTCTAGAAATCGGACAAGGCGGTAAATAAGTATCGTTAAACATACATAAAAAATGAAGAATTTGAGGATTTTCTTATAGACCCAATTATTAGATTTTGACCAAATTTATAGGGGACCATTCCTAAGGTACCCCTTTACCAACAAAAAAAGAATCATAGAAATCTGACAAGGTTGTAAATAATTACGGCTAAACATACAGTAAAAATGAAGAGTTTGATGATTTTCTAATGGACCCAATTATTAGATTTAGAACAAAGGACCCCGCCCTTTTCTAATGGCAAAGTGGCGTTCCGTCAAATGTAATAAATTTTGAATATGATGTTTTACTCGACTTGTTAACCAAAAGTGTTCATGAGACCAATTCAATCCTATTACTAGTTTTTAAAATACAGGGTGTTAAAGTCGAGAAATCGTATTTCTTGAAACTACGTAACTTAATTAAAAAGAAAAGAAATAGGCATTTTTAGTTGATTGTAGCATTAATATGTCCTAGTCTAACGCAAACGTATACATAAATAGTTAAAAATGTAAACATATACAGGGTGGTACTCAGTTACATCAGGGGGAATTTTTGAAATTCTGAGAGATTCTGATATGGAATGAAAACATGGTCAAAAATAGAAACTTATATAATGTTTACTGTTCTAACATTATATAAATCCACTTTACATTATATGTATTCAGGGTGATTGTAAAATTCATTCCACAGAAAGGCGTTTCGTAAAAAAAAATTACACTCTGTATAATAGGGAATTTGTTATTAATATTGATTATGCATTTAATACCTAGGAAACAATGCTGTTTATGGAATACAGGGTGATAGACACATCTAATTCGTTTTTGATGCAGCAATAATTAAAGAAATATTCCTTTTTCAGAATCACTCTATATTTTTCAATTCGATCCGTCAAAATGTACGAACTATTTATTTTTGTTATTAGCTTTAAGCAATTAATAACTTCATATAATTTCATAATTTTAGTATGATCCGTTTTTGAGATTCCAATATATATAGTGAACCATTAAATATCAGACAATTCAGGATATTCGCACACTGGAATTTTTTATTTGCTGAAAAATTATCGGGGGTAATACCACAAGAACTCAGCTTTAGCCGGATATTTTTGTGGTTATTTTCGAATACTTTCATTGGCAATTGCCTAATGAAAGTAAGTATGAGAAAACCACCGTAAAAAATATCCTGCTAGATCTAAGCTGGCGTGGTATTTGGTAAGACCATTCCAGGAATAGAAAAATCATTTCAATTAAACTTTATTTTTTTGTATTTTTCTGGAGTTGATTTTTCAATCTCCCTTACTATTTCTGCCTCGCAAATATTAATATATCTCGATGTACTTACTGAAATACTACCAGCATGGGCGTCGTTACACAATTCTATAGGGAGGGGCAAAATTTTGAAAAAAATTTAGAATGTTTATTTGTTGGAAAACAAAGGAAATGAAAAATAAAAGAGAAATTTCTTATGATGGATTTAATTTTTCTGTGACTTCATGGCTTATTTACAGCTTTTCCAGAAATAACAGAAAATCGCAATTTATTTTTTATTTTTAAATGAAAACCCTTTTTTATTGAAAATTTGAATTTCTGGGACATTTTTGGGGCGTTTATTGAAAATTTTCTGTAACATATTAAAAAAAATATTTTCCAATATGATGGTCATTTTGACACATTATTCTTTTTCATAAATGTTCCCGAAATTCAAATTTTCAATAAAAAAGGGGGTTTCTATTTAAAAATAAATTGAGAATTTCTGTTATTTCCGAAAAACCAGAAGTAAGCCATGATGTCACACACCAATTGAATCCAGTATATGACAGTATTTGTTCCAAGCTTTTAAACAGAACAAAATTATTTAGATATCTCACTGAATAGAGAAGATAAGGGGAGTGGAACTTTAGTAGTAACCCTAACAATGTCACTGACCCATTTGACAGAACTGATGCTTAAGTTGTCATAACAAGTCTCTAATAAATAAAATAACCAAAAAAAAAAGACAAAAACTAAAATTAAAAAAAAACAAGAAACTTAAAGCATATTTTTAAAAAACAAACAGGTGTGATATAAAAGAAAAATATGAACATAATAATATAAAAAATAAAAATTTATAAAAAACAAAAACATAAAAAAGTTGACTCAAATATGTCAATGAACACAAAAAAACACTAGGAAAATGCAAATTTCAAATTTCTTTTTTCTCTACTAAAAATATCGATAACGAAAACATAATTTATTTTTCAGTCAGCCTATTTTCATTCATTATTCACTCCGTGTGTGACAGCAATGCCAACAATTTTATGAACTAACGGACGATATTTGCGTATACTGACAATACAATTTTTAATAGAGTCGTAATTAAGAAATATATATGTTAATTTTAATTTTAAAACAAGTGAACAAATTATTATTATTATATATTTTTATTACTTCAGCTAAAAAAAGTCAATAAAAATCAATAATAAAACATAGGTAGGTACTTACGAGAAAATTTATGAGATCTTGCCTAAGTCTAATAAGTTGTCATTGAAGAATAGATTAAATTATGTCAAATTAAAAATATTACCATTATATAATAACGTAAAATTAAAACTTAATAACAAAAATAATTGGTATATTTGCGATTGTAATTTATATTTTCTTCATTTTTAGTTCGAAAGAACCCATAGAAATTAATGAATAAAACCGGTTTCCTATCAATAAGTCACAAGATTGTATGTCAACCATATACAATAATTAAAGGCAGAAATCTAATCATTTGCTAAACATTTAAGATTTAAGGGATGTTAAAGAATATCATAAAAAAATAATTTATTGCTTAATTATTACAAAAATAAAGGTTTTTTTGTTCTTATTATACAGCTGTCCATTTATTTATTTTATTTAATTTCGATTTTGCTACTGAACATTCATATAATTTACAGTCTTTTTGCTAGTATAATTTGTAACATAGCAACTCCGGTTGCTCATTTTATTATTTTTACCTATTTTTTTTAGTAAAAGGTAAAATGTATACGTGTATTTGATACGCCAAAATTACAAAATATCGCCCTAAAATACTTGAATTATCCGCAGCTTGCGCTAGTATCGCTTTTGGTTCCCCTATCATGACTTCGCACTGATCGAATAGACTGCAGCCATGTTTTAACATGCCTTAGTGTTTCAAACGTTCTTTCGTTGGTGGAAGAGCCATAAATATTTTTTAAACCTCTTTGTATGTCTGGATCAAATTCACAATATTTGGGCACTATATCATTAATGGAGAGCTCATTGTGTGCAGAAAGCTCTTTCGTATTCCAGTTTGGTATTCAGCTTCAAAATTATCGATTCCAAATTTTTCCACCACTTTCATTTTCTTATCGGTAGTGAAAAAAGTATTTTTTATGTTTTTGGGATGTAACAGGCTTAAGGAAAAACTAACAAAGTCTTCGGAAAAGCGGAACCCACATATGCAATAAATATATTCAACCTATAATATTCTTCAAATATATTAGCCTGAATATTATTTGTATGAGATTGTTGTTCGTAATGCATATCTTACGCGTTGTTGATTAAGTCGTAAAAGCCAGGGGGGCAACTGCCCCCCCTTGCCCCCCCCCCCCAAACGACGCCCATGACTACGAGGAATATTGAGTGCTGTTTAATTCTGTTTTTGACCTTTACAATTGTCAAACTGATGCGACGCGCAACGCTTGATAAACGAACAATAAATGCTACGGTAATGTAATTTATCCGATATTTTTATCCACTTGCATTTCTGTTTCTTCCTATTTAGCCGATAGTAAACTACGATTTTTGTACTCACAAATGGGAATTATTAGACCTACATATATGAGTGGATATGTCTGATATTTAATATGGTTCACTATATATTGGAATCTCAAAAATGGATCATACTAAAATTATGAAGTTATTAATTGCTTAAAGCTAACAACAAAAATAAATAGATGGTACGTTTTGACGGATCGAATTGAAAAATATAGGGTGATTCTGAAAAAGGAATATTTTAATTATTGCTGCATCAAAAACGAATTAGATGTGTCTATCACCCTGTATTCCATAAACAGTATTGTTTTCTAGGTATTAAATGCATAATCAATATTAATAACAAATTCCCTAATATACAGAGTGTATTTTTTTTAAGAAACCTGTATACATATAATGTAAAATGGGTTTATATAATGTTAGAACAGTAAACATTATGTAAGTTTATATTTTTGACCATGTTTTCATTCCATATCAGAATATCTCAGAATTTCAAAAATTCCCCCTGATGTAACTGAGTGCCACCCTGTATATGTTTACATATATGTTTACTAGGACAAAGTAATGCTACAATCAACTAAAAATGCTAATTTTTTTTCTTTTTAATTAAGTTACGTAGTTTCAAGAAATACGATTTCTTGACTTTAAAAACTAGTCATAGGATTAAATTGGTCCCATGAACACTTTTGGTCAACAAGTCGAGTACAACATCATATTCAAAATTTATTACATTTGACGGAACGCCACTTTGCCATTATAAAAAAAAAACATTGCGACGAATTGAAGTCGGTTAAAAAGAGGAAAAATTTTGTGGTAAAAATTTTTTATTTATTTAAAACATTCAAATTATTATTTTAATTTTGAAAAGATGGCATCTATAAAATGTATAACCGTACCAAAAATATACAAATTGTTATGATAATGTAGTAGTATGATAACGAGCCATTTTCTACCAATCTGGTCATGCTCTGCCTTGTTTGGGCCTCACGACCCCACTTGTAACATTTTAATTCTTTTAAAACGTTATATTAAATATGTAACATTTTGTATAAGACTTATGATGCTCACTGTATAAATTTTAATATGGCAAAGATTAATCTAAGAGTCCTAAGTAACAAAAAATTATTTAGTTTAGATCCAAGTAGTCTCCTTTTAACAAGATGATGGCTGTTACCAATGAGTTTCTTAGCGAGGTCCAAATAGATATCTTTAATGTTAGCCTAAGAAAGTTGAGGACTGTACTAAATTAAGTTCACTAGATATAAAATAAATGTTTGTTTTGTTTTTGTTTTTAAATTTTTTGTTACTTAACTCTACATGTAACTACTATTAATTTTTTTATAGTATCCAATAAATAAATTATACCTTATGGCTGCTTTCAAACAATTCTGTGTGTAGTCACTTAGTTTAAAGTCAATTTTAAATTAGTGAGTTTAATAAGAATGTCAAATAGTGATATGTATTGTATCTATGAATTAGCTGTGTGTAGTAAATGGCCAATATACATAACTTTGATATTTTTATTACAAGTGTAAAAACTATGAAAACCATATACATATAGTTCCCATTTTTAAATAAATTAAATTAATTCATAATAAAAAGTAACAATTTTCGTCTGCCATACTTGAACTCATTCACAAAAACAAGTATATATTTGTAAAAAAAAAAAACTACAATAAATATGTCTGCATTATAAATTTTTATATTTAAAACTACACACTTTCCTACAGCTTTTGCAGTACCTAAATAACGTATAGAATAAATTTCTACAATATACTAGAAAATTTTTAGATTAGAGTAATTATTAAGAAATAAAGCAAAACCTCTATTTTGTTACTCTATCCTTGGGTGTTATATATTTCCCTTGACAAACTAACGTTATATTTTGAACTAAAAATAATTAAACTTTTCACTAAAAAGTAATATTTCACATATATAAAAAAAATTTAAAACTGTTCTGTCCTTCTTACATTTACGAAGACTACTCTAATATCTAATTGACTTTCTTCTTCACAGTAATTAAGTTGTTCAATCGTTGTCTATAAAAGTATCTCACATCTCGCTCGTACACACGAATTTGAAGAGCAGCAGAACAAAAATTTAACTAACTAGGTATACCAAGTCTGTGTAAAGAAAACTTTTCATATCCTGTAAACGTCCAGTGTCAACTAAAATGTCTACTTTTAAAGATCAAACGTGCCGCCTCAGAGTGCCAGTACTGATTGATACATATACTGGGGTATGAATCATTCATTCGGGAATGCACTAGAACCCAGCCCTTATAGAAGTAAATTCGAAAAATTGCGGGAGACATCTGTCCAATAAATGGTGAGACCGAGAATAATCTAGCACATACACCAATTTATATATACATGGGCTGTGTTACACAAGATGTCGTTCAGTTGAAATCGAGTCAGTGAGAATACCGATAAAGCAAATGTGATATAAATTACTACAAGTAATTTGGAAAATAAATAAAAGTGTGAAATATAAATAAATAAATAAATAAATTAATACGTAGTATAGATAAATTATAAATAAAAACTGTTTTTAAAAAATAAACTATTTTTAAAATAAACAATCGTTACCATACCTATTATTTTAGATAGAATTTATTAAAACTAAAACACATAAGATGCGTCAGTTTTATCTTTTCTGTTATTTATTATATGTGCCTTACATTTCATAAACTTTGGTAACTGCGTTAGCAGAGTATAATATCCCCAAATTTCACATGTTACTCCGATTGATGCGGCCCAGACGTGTTTAGAAGAAAGAATAGCTCTCCATGGAACACTTAAGCTTGTTTCGGCAGGCTTAGTGACCTTTAGTGATTCAGTGATAAATGTTAACTCGTGTTTACTTATTTTTGAGTCTTCTGATGGTTTGTTTTTTACAATTAATAGAAAAAACATAGTCCATATGATTCCAATCAACCCTAAAAAATATTTTTATTGATTATATAATCGGTTGAAACACAGCTGAATTTTGGAATACAATATTTAACTACCACTAATATTTTACTTACCGGAAACATAGAAAATACTTTCCCAACCCAGTGTAGATGCCAGTAAAGAAGAAAGTGGCAGTGAAATGACAGTTCCAAAATAGGTTCCAGATAAACCAATCGTCACCAATCTAGTTTTTTCTAAGGGCGGATACCACCTTGCGTGAAGATAATGTGCACTTGGAGTTATGATTCCCTAAAAAAGTGTAGTTGTGTAGTTAAAGCAAAAAATTGTTTGTTTATTCATGGTTGTTAGACTTAAATAATCCCTTGTTTTTGCGTTGATAAATATTATCAAAACAAAAAATATAGTAATCGAATATCCATACATTAAAGTGTTTTCAATAAATCAGTAGGATATCGAAAGAAATTTAAAAAAAATGTTTTTTGTATTCATTTCTGTACGATATCTAAATTGTTCCTCATGATAAAATATACATATTCGTGATGTATTTTACGCAGTAGTGTTCCTATTGGCCAGAGCAGGGGCTCTACAAAGCCTCTGTGTTGGCCAGAGCAGTGTTTCTCAAAGTGTGCTCCGCGGAGCCCAGGGGCTCTACAAAGCCTCTGTGTGGGCTCCGCGACAATATATAAGGGGGCCGGTTCGTCAGATTTGTAAGGTGTCGTATATCTACCACTCGATGAAAAGCAAACGGGCCTACTTCGATCTTATTTGGTCGTGCCTTTGGTAGACCCGTTGCTTTTCATTGCGCGGTAGATATACAAAATCGTACAAATCTGACGAACCTCGGCCCATTGTTGGCTCGGGCCCGGCTCGTTATATCTATACGCATCTTAAGTGAAACGCGCTTACAAATAAAAAATAAACAAGAAAGGTACATACAAGTAAGCTTTACTAAATTTTAAGTAATACATACCTTTTTGTATTTTTTAGAATTTGGTGTCATTTTCGAAATAATAACGGCTTAAAAAATATGCTGTCATTTTATTAATTTAACAATTTATTTCTAACATTTTATCGGATAAATTATTCATAGATATCTGTATCTGTAACGTGTGGAGGGTGGATTAGCCCCATGGCACATAGACCTCATTAGACCCATTGTACATCTTCCTGAGATGGTAGACACTCCCTAGCTCGTGAGCCAGCCTACAGATTTAATGTAGTTGACAACGTCGCCAAGTGGTGCAGTGTTGTCAGGATAACTTAAGAGTTCCCTGGCAACTCTGCAGTTTCTTCTTTCATCCTATCTTTCCTTGAATTTCACACAGGGGAATGTTCTTTGATTAGGTCTGTCACTACCGATTTTGTCAGGCCAATAGAAGGGCCAGGTCCAAAAAGTATTTGGTTGGCTGCTCTCTTGGCTAGTGAATCAGCAAAACGGTTGGCGTGACCTTTGATTCATCTTAAGGTGACCACATTGTTGATGGATACTTCGGCCAAAGCTTCGTGACATTCTAGTAATAACCTTGAGTAAATTCGTGGTCTGTTCAGGGTGAGTAGTGCTTGTCTGCTATCTGTATAGATGATTATGTTCCATCCAGGACATTGTTTCTGGTTATTTCTTTTGCTGCTATGAGAATCCCCGTTAGATCTGTTTTAGCTACACTGGCACTATTGCTCACAGCCCATTTTATGTCTAGATTTAAGAATCTGGAGTATATTCCACATCCTGAGCCTTGTTTTGTTTTAGAACCGTCAGTGTAGATATGAATCGTACCTGCCACTTCCGGCGCTTCTATTTGTTCTGTTATAACTTTATATGGCTTATGGAATATATATCTGGGTGAGATGGAGTTCATGTTCGCTTGAAGCAGTGGAAGCGTATCGAGTGCCTCCTGCCAAAAGTGACGTCTCGCCTCACCAGATACTACATCAGGTTCTATTCCAACCGTGCGGAGCGTGACATTGTCGTCAGAGCAACCTCCTTGATATACATTTCAAGGGGAGTGAGACTAAGAATGACTTCCATGGCTCTGGTTGGTGTTGTTTTCATGGCTCCTATTGTGTTGAAACATGCTCTTCTTTGAATTTGTTCTAGTTTACGGATCGGTCTTATGATAGCCGTGTAAGTCCGTGCGACGACTCTAAGGGAGAAACCCCATGTGCGCCCCACGGTTCGGCAGCATTGTTCATAAGCATTGTATGCGTTTTTAACTCTGTTTTCTAATGCGAGTTCCATGTTAACTTGCTGTTAAGGGTGAGAATTAGGTACTTCACCTCTGTTGCAAAGTCTAGTTTTGTGTTTAGGAGTTCTGGAGGTTTTAATTCCATTTTCATCCTTTTTCTTGTGAAAAGGACCATTTCTGTCTTCTTAGGATTGATAGACAGTGAATGGTCCTTGCACTACTGTTCTATAATTTTTAGAGCTACTTGCATTCCTTCGCAGAGTATGTTCTCAAAATTCCCTGTTTGCAGAATAACCAGGTCATCTGCATAAATGCTATTGTGTAGTGACTGTCATAAATTATTCATACAATATCAAATAGTACATTAAACACATGTATTAGAAATTAAAAATTTAAAAAACCGACTTCAAAAACGTGCAGATGCCGTCACCATATCTTAACCAAATTTATGTGGGATCACCCTTGAGGTATCCCCTTATTAACAAAAAAAGAATCATATAAATCGGACAAGGCGGTAAAGCATTATCGCTAAACATACATAAAAAATTAAGAATTTGAGGATTTTCTCATGGACCCAATTGTTAGATTTTGAACAAATTTATATGGGACCAACCCTGAAGTACCCCCTTTCTAACAAAAAAAGAATTACTGAAATCGGACACCGTGTTAAAGAATTATCGCTGAACATACATAAAAAAAAATATCGCGACGAATTGATAATTTTTTGAAATCGGTTGAAAATAGTAAAAAAATTACAACAAATGATTGAAATGGCCACCTCCGGCTCAAATACAAACCCGTATTCTTTTTTTGAATATTATTGCGGTTGTATGTTTCTAATTTCCCAAATCTCATATGAATATTTTTTTGTGGTAAAATATTTTATTTTTTTTTAATTTTGACACCCTGTAACACCTAAACGAAGAAGAATCAGAACTATGCGTCATAAAAAAAATCTTATTTTTGTGTAATGAATCTACCCTCGAATGTTGGACCATGTTTGTTGAAACACTCTGTATATGTAAAAATCATACTCATCTATGGTGAACCCTAAGCTTGCAATATTATTCTAAAAGTGAAAACCAGGCAATACTGGCAATTATACAATAAAAAAAAACCATTAAAATAATAAAACAATTATTATTTACCTCAAATACACCCACCAAAATTCGCACAGTCAAAAATAGATATATATTTATATTAGCAGCAATTGGAGATAATACTGTTAAAACGGAAGCCACTCCTATTCCTGCTGCGATTACTGGTTTTCCTCCGAATCTTATACATAAATATCCTCCAACTATTTGTGTAAAAATGTATCCATAGAAAAAAGAACCTAATAGGTATCCTTGGATTTTTGTATCCCAATCAAAATATCTTTCCTACAAAAACAACTAAGTTAAAATTGGATTGGTACATTGGGTCTGTTGATTTTTTTGTTTTAAAATAGATGTGTGATTCCAGTGACGTTACGTTTTTAGCTATATATTTCTATAAAAAAAAATAGGGGGTCCAAGGCGTATTGACCTTCCCCGAAAACCTATAAAAATTTAAAATAAATTAATGCGACTACTGCGTATTTATTGTACAACATATATTCAATATAGGCGGGGTTGGTTGTAGTTTAGTCATTGCTTTGTAGCTTAGATTGCTTGCTTGTTTGCTTGTCCGCTTGTAGGTAACTCGTGGTACCGCTGGATACGTTAATATTGCTGCTTTATGAACAGCATTATTAACTAACTAAATGGCACTAACATCTGATCAAACGGAGCCTTCCATCCAAAGCGATCAACCTCCCTCAACCTCTCAAGTGAGACAACCTCACAAGACAGAAGTGGGGAACAGAAGAAAGAGGTGAAAGGAGAAGCGAAGAGGAGCACCATCGCTCCATCTTCTCCATCCCCTCTCACCACTCATTGGCGTGGGAAGCTTCCCTCAAAAAAGAATCCAAACGGAAGCTATCTTCCCAACCTCCAGTGGGACATCCTGGTGGAAATGACGATTTACTGAGGCATGGACTCAGTGGGGCAGGGGTTTGGTGGTATCTTCGCTACCTCGTTCGGGGCATGACACCGGAGGAAGCGAAAAAGAAAGCGGGACGGAAATAACACCACACCACCGCAAAGAAAAGAAAAGGAATGTGGCCGATACCTTTGCTTCTGGCAGTTATGCAACTGTCGTCAAGACGGAGCGAGTCGCGATCCTACCTAAGGAGTTCCCTGAGACCATCCTCAGTGCGAACGAACAAACTTTGGTGGAAGAAGCTATAGTAGAAGAGATGTTGGCTGGATGGGAGCATAAGCTCCAATTCGGAGGCATCCACTTCCGGCCAGGAATGGTCTTAATCGACTGTGAAACCCCACAGTCAGCAGAATGGCTGAGGGCAAAAATCCCACACCTGAGCAACTGGAAGGGAGTGGAGTTGGAGTTGTGTGCGGGAGACGACATCCCGAAAGTAGAAAAGCTTCTACAGTTAATAGAAGCGCAGAATGTGGAAATATCAACCACAGTATGGAAAATCGTCAGCCAAAAAGACGAGGGCAAAGGCCAGATCCTTAGGTTGGGAATAAATGACCTATCCTGCCAACAAATCAAGGGTAATGGATGCACTATCCACTATCGATTCGGAAAAATCCCCGCACACGGTCTTCAAAAGAAAGAGGAAACAAAGGAACTGGGGGAAGAAACAGAACCAACTTCTAGTACTTTCAAAGATGAGACTAATGTGGAGAGCATAGAGAGCCTTGACCTCTCAAATCTCTGCGTAGACTCATCTGAGAATGTAGAAATTGATAAAGAAGCAGAAGAGAGGGATATGGAACACACCCTCATCGATGGGGACAGCACCCCCATTAAAGGAGAAAAAAATGGCGGACATCGACATCGCCCAAGTGAATGTCCATCACGCAAAGGGAGCCTCGGCTGTGATCTCCAGGACATTCACTAAAGACCAATTAGGGATCGTACTGATCCAGGAACCGTGGGTCTATGGAAACCAAGAAGATCTACAAAAATTGCCCTGGTACAGTTGACTGATGTTATCCAGGATGCACCAACAAACAAAGAAACGGTCATGTGTGCCTTCCTCTACATAGAAGGAGCTTTTGACAACACGCCACACGAATCTGTAAAAAGAGCACTTGCATACAGAGGAGTAGATAACATCACATCCAGATGGATGGCTCAGCTGTTATCTACGAGATATGCGGAGACACAGATAGGGCAGGACACCATCTCCATCTGCACAACCAGAGGATGTCCACAAGGAGGAGTTCTATCCCCACTAATGTGGAGCCTAACCGTAACTTCTATGCAGATTGACTGACCTCGGCATACCCTGTCAAGGTTATGCCGACGACATAGTCATATTTGTTAGTGGCAAGTTTAGTAATATCGTGTGTGATATAGTCCACCGAGGACTAGAACATACCAAAAGATGGTTCCGTGAAGTGGAACTTAGTATAAATCCTATAAAAACAACACTAGTAGCCTTTTCAAGGAAAAGAAACCCTTATCTCAAAACCGTTAAATTAGACGGGATAGATATAGAATGAAAAAATGAAGTCAAACATCTAGGCCTAACCCTGGACAACAAACTTCCCTGGAACACACATAAGAAAGAAGTAGTAAATAAGACCACAAAAGCCCTAATGGTATGCAGAAACATTGCAGGCAAAATGGGGATGTAACCCAAACATACTGCGATGGATGTATACTGCAATAGTGAGACCAATCATCACTTACGGGGCTATAGCCTGGAGTAACAGAACTAGCTTAGCTACTACGAGAGCTCAAAAGTACAAAGACTAGCCCGTGTTTGCATTACTGGTGCAATGAGAACCTGTCCTACGGCCGCAATGGAGTTGATCTTAAACCTCGCCCCTCTACATTTGATAATAGAGAAAATGGCAAAATGGACACGATGTAGAATAAACAGAAACGGAGTAATCATACGAAAGACTACTTGCTTTAGGACTAAAGATACCTGGGACATGCCCCAGGATGAAATGCTAAAGAAGTACAGTTTTGTGAAAAACTTCAAAACCACAGAGCTGGGCTGCAAGAAAGAATGAAGCCAAGAATCCATCGCGCTTGCAACTGAAAGACGTGCTATTCAGTGGTATACGGACGGTTTCAAAACCATATAAGGAACTGGAATAGGAGTGTATGGGCCGAGAACCAAGCACTCCGAAAGCTTGGCAAATACCCAAGAATTTTCCAGGCGGAAATTCACGCCATCGAGAAATATATCCAGTTCAACATCGAGAGAAACTATCATAGACAAGAGATTATCATCATGTCCGATAGTCAAGCAGCTATCAAAGCGCTGAGCTCTTACGTAATCAGCTCAAAAATGGTCTGGAGATGCCTAGAACAATTGAATGAGCTAGGCGAGAAAAATAGAGTTACTCTCACTTGGGTCCCTGGACATAACGGGGTACAGGGTAATGAGATTGCAGATAGTCTTGCAAGGAAAGGGGCTCAAACACCTTTTGTAGGACCTGAGCCGTTCTGCGGTTTTAGCAGTAACATAATATTAGGAGTGATTAAAAAAGAATTGGTCAGTAGAAGAATCGATAATTAAAACAATCTCTTGGGGCTGAGACAGGCCAAGATATTTCTGGGTGAATATAACCAGAAAAGATTGGAAGCCTGCATCTGCCTGAGCAAGAACAGGCTACGTATTGTAACAAGGATCCTTACCGGGCATTGCCGACTGAAAGGACACCTAAGTAAACTGAGAGTAGTAGAGGATAGTAAGTGCAGATTCTGTGAGGAGGAGGATGATACCTTCATTCACATCCTAACTGAATGTGTAGCACTCCAGAATCCAAGAGCACTATATCTAGGAGGATATCAAATAGAAGAGGGAGATTTACCTAACTTGAAGCCACTTCAAATCCTACACTTCCTTGAGAAAATTGGATTGGAAGGGTCGTTATAGACATTGAGACATTTCCTTGGTGCATTGGCGACAGAAGGAGACACAATAGGTCTTTAAGGTCGAAGTGTATTAACACCCCACTCCCAACGTAACACAACATAACATATCCAATATAATTTTTTATAAATTAATGTAAAATCGTTTTAGAGCATCGTTAAAAAAAATTATTTGAATTTTAAACTTAAACACCTTATAACTTTATTGTGTGCTCTTTTCTACATATTATTATGTAAGATTCAATCGACCAATTTTTGACACCAGACCAGAATATAATAATATGGTATAATTTACGATCATTATTTTTGGGACATTCTCTATAACATATATAATAAATACTAAAAGTAACTAAAATGAATACTTGCCAAATATATTGTTCCATTCGATGAGGTTATATTGTTTAACTGAGTCATAGCTACTATAGCTACACTTAGATTTACTCGTAATGAATAGGAATTGAAAAATCCGAGAAATAACATCATTGCCAAAAGGTACCTTCTTGCTCTCCAGAAAACCCATACTGGAACTTTATGTGACTCACTAAAATTGATTTATTATTTTTTTATAATAAAAGTGTATGTATTCTCATAGGAAGAGGTTGGGTAAACAAATAATATCAATTAAATAAAAATTACCTAAATGTACAGTAAAGGTGAGAACTCATTAGGCGATCGTAGTATCGTCGCACTGCGGTCTGTGCTAATCTCGAGCGCGCACAGTGAAGTTTTTTCCCACATTTTAAAACGCATGCATTTCCACTTAGTGTTCCCGCTCGCACCCAGCAGTTTCATAGATTTTCGAGAGATCGCGCGCACTCGAGACTAACACAGACCGCTATGCGCCGGGACCGCAATTGCCTAGTATTACATAATACAAAAATATACATCCACATGAGTTTTTTCTTCTGCTTGAAGAGCCCTAAACAGGATGAAACTGGTTATACAGTGCTTATCTAATCGAAGAGTTGGTTTGTGTCGAAAATGTCTACAGCTGACACATAACTTTAGTAAAAATAGATGAGAAAACAACAACATAGTGGTTTCCTAATATTTATAAGCGTTATAGAGAATATGTTTGGGATTGCATTACTGCTCATTTTAATATATTTAATATTTTACAAATATGTCCTATAACTATTTTTTTCTTTGTTTTTTATTTGCTTTCTTTTGATTTTTATTTGTTTTTTCTTTGTTTTTCTATTTGCTTTCTGTTGGTTTTTCATTTGTTTTTTCTCCGTTTTTTTCTTTGTTTTTTCTTTGTTTTTTTCTTTGTTTTTTCTTTATTTTTTCTCTGTTTTTTTTGTTTTTCCTTTTTTCTTCTTTGTATTTCCTTTGTTTTTCTATATTTTTCTTTTTTTCGCTGTTTTTCTCTGTTTTCCTTTATATTTCCTTTGTTTTTCATTGTTTTTCTTTGTTTTTCTTTGTTTTTCTTTGTTTTTCTTTGTTTTTCTTTGTTTTTCTTTGTTTTTCTTTGTTTTTCTTTGTTTTTCTTTGTTTTTCTTTGTTTTTCTTTGTTTTTCTTTGTTTTTCTTTGTTTTTCTTTGTTTTTCTTTGTTTTTCTTTGTTTTTCTTTGTTTTTCTTTGTTTTTCTTTGTTTTTCTTTGTTTTTCTTTGTTTTTCTTTGTTTTTCTTTGTTTTTCTTTGTTTTTCTTTGTTTTTCTTTGTTTTTCTTTGTTTTTCTTTGTTTTTCTTTGTTTTTCTTTGTTTTTCTTTGTTTTTCTTTGTTTTTCTTTGTTTTTCTTTGTTTTTCTTTGTTTTTCTTTGTTTTTCTTTGTTTTTCTTTGTTTTTCTTTGTTTTTCTTTGTTTTTCTTTGTTTTTTTCTTTGTTTTTCTTTGTTTTTCTTTGTTTTTCTTTGTTTTTCTTTGTTTTTCTTTGTTTTTTCTTTGTTTTTCCTTTGTTTTTTCTTTGTTTTTCTTTGTTTTTCTTTGTTTTTCTTTGTTTTTCTTTGTTTTTCTTTGTTTTTCTTTGTTTTTCTTTGTTTTTCTTTGTTTTTCTTTGTTTTTCTTTGTTTTTTCTTTGTTTTTCTTTGTTTTTCTTTGTTTTTCTTTGTTTTTCTTTGTTTTTCTTTGTTTTTCTTTGTTTTTCTTTGTTTTTCTTTGTTTTTCTTTGTTTTTCTTTGTTTTTTCTTTGTTTTCTCTTTGTTTTTCTTTGTTTTTCTTTGTTTTTTCTTTGTTTTTCTTTGTTTTTCTTTGTTTTTCTTTGTTTTTCTTTGTTTTTCTTTGTTTTTCTTTGTTTTTCTTTGTTTTTCTTTGTTTTTCTTTGTTTTTCTTTGTTTTTCTTTGTTTTTCTTTGTTTTTCTTTGTTTTTCTTTGTTTTTCTTTGTTTTTCTTTGTTTTTTCTTTGTTTTTTCTTTGTTTTTCTTTGTTTTTCTTTGTTTTTCTTTGTTTTTCTTTGTTTTTCTTTGTTTTTCTTTGTTTTTTCTTTGTTTTTCTTTGTTTTTCTTTGTTTTTCTTTGTTTTTCTTTGTTTTTCCTTTGTTTTTTCTTTGTTTTTCTTTGTTTTTCTTTGTTTTTCTTTGTTTTTCTTTGTTTCTTCTTTGTTTTTCTTGTTTTTCTTTGTTTTTCTTTGTTTTCTTTGTTTTTCTTTGTTTTTCTTTGTTTTTCTTTGTTTTCTCTTGTTTTTCTTTGTTTTTCTTTGTTTTTCTTTGTTTTTCTCTTTGTTTTTTCTCTTTGTTTTTCTTTGTTTTTCTTTGTTTTTCTTTGTTTTTCTTTGTTTTTCTTGTTTTTCTTGTTTTTCTTTGTTTTTCTTTGTTTTTCTTTGTTTTTCTTTGTTTTTCTTTGTTTTTCTTTGTTTTTTCTTTGTTTTTCTTTGTTTTTCTTTGTTTTTCTTTGTTTTTCTTTGTTTTTCCTTTGTTTTTCTTTTGTTTTTCTTTGTTTTTTCTTTGTTTTTTTCTTTGTTTTTCTTTGTTTTTTTCTTTGTTTTTTCTTTGTTTTTTCTTTCGTTTTTCTTTCTTTTTTCTCTTCCTTTCTTTTTCTTTCTTTTTCTTTCTTTTTCTTTCTTTTCTCTTTCTTTTTCTTTCTTTTTTCTTTCTTTTCTTTCTTTTTCTTTCTTTTTTCTTTTCTTTTTTTCTTTCTTTTTCTTTTCTTCTTTTCTTTCTTTTTCTTTCTTTTTCTTCTCTTTTTCTTTCTTTTTCTTTCTTTTTCTTTCTTTTTCTTTCTTTTTCTTTCTTTTTCTTTCTTTTTCTTTCTTTTTCTTTCTCTTTTCTTTCTTTTTCTTTCTTTTTCTTTTTCTTTTTCTTTTCTTTTTCTTTCTTTTTCTTTTTCTTTTTCTTTCTTTTTTCTTTCTTTTTCTTTCTTTTTCTTTCTTTTTCTTTCTTTTTCTTTCTTCTTTTCTTTCTTTTTCTTTCTTTTTCTTTCTTTTTCTTTCTTTTTTCTTTCTTTTTCTTTCTTTTTCTTTCTTTTTCTTTTTTTTCTTTTTTTTTACTTTCTTTTTCTTTCTTTTCCTTTCTTTTTATTTCTTTTTTTTCTTTTTATTTCTTTTTATTTCTTTTTCTTTCTTTTTCTTTTTTCTTTCTTTTTCTTTCTTTTTCTTTCTTTATTTTTCTTTTTTCCTTTGCTGTCTTATTCTTTTTCTTTGTTTTTTAGAGAAAGAAAAATTGAAAAAATTGTCCGAATTATTAAAAAGTTCGAGAAAAACCAAAAGTGCTTTTTTTCTATAAGATTTTGTTCGTAATCCTTTTTGGTTTTATTCGCTATGATACTGAAAAGTTTTCAGGAAACAAATTTCGTGACTATTAAAAGGGAAGATCAGAAAATTCGGACAAACTGCAAAAATCATAATGTTTTATGTACTCTCGATCATAACTGATAATGACACGACATATTGATTCATTCTTGTTTTGTTTGTTCTTTATGCTATAGGGATGGAAATAACAATGTTTTGAATTGAAAATAAAATAGATCCGCAATAGTTAAAAAATATTTGTTAATAGGCAGAATTTTATTGATCATATAAGGGGTGTTTCAACAAGAGTTTTCATTTGTTGATAGTAAATTTAACAAATTTAAGACAAAAATGTTTTTTATATTACTACATACAAGTAATATGATTTCTTACAATTACGTGAAAGACAATATCTGTCAAATGATCACCATGACAGAACACAACTCTGTTTTAAATCCTGAATTGTTTGGATAAATATAATCTAATTGAAATCTCTATATTGCAGTATTTTTGAAAGACGATTTTAAAATCAAAGTAATCGGAATTTTACGATATGCGGTTCTTACCGAAGAGGCATTTTCAAAATAGGTTTTTTTAATGTATATACGTTTCTTTACTTTGTTACTATAACTTAAATTGTACTAATATGCAGAATTCAACAAAAAAGAAGTCACTAAAAGATGTTTCCGATAAGAAAACTAACAAATAAAAACATTTGGAAAATATTATTAGAATACCCTTTCACTATAAAATAATAAACGGAAAGTTTGTATTTAAAAAATTGAAAACAAATACCTTAATACTTTTTCTGTTGCTCCTATTTGAGAATCTATATTCGCATCCATTAACAGGCAATGTTAATCTTCAAGTAAATACCTGTTAAAATAATTCAATAATTAACATTTTTAAAATACGTATAAATTAATTTAAAACAAGGTTATAAGTTGAATAACACGACTATCATAGCCTATCTATAAACATAATAATGTATTTTTATTTAAATAGTCACAATAATAACAAAGTGTTGATACACATTATTTAATCAATTGTGTTAGCTACGAGGGAGAATTTAATCCGTCTACTTAGTTATGAAAATGCACTACCCTTTTGTAGAACCAACTTTTAACTTTTAATATCACGTGTAACTTTGTACTGAAGACCAGTTAAACTAACCCCCTTGATTTAAAGTTTCGATTTTAGCACGCACTAGCTTACTTATTATTAAAAATTATTCAGGATATCTACTTTTAGTAGTTCAAAAGTTTAATGAATGTTCAATATATTCTGGAATTTAAACACTCGTAGATTATTAATACAATCACAATGTTCATAATAGAAAAAAATGTACATTCAATTAAAGGTTTATTATTGTAATATTTTTATATTTACTTCGACAAGGAATCTCAATACCAATTTCAACGATTACAATATACGTAATTCATTTTTAACCAAAGAAAAAAATTACTTTTCTTAAGAAGACTGTACTCTTCAGAATCAAACATAAAGATGAATATCCTGAGTTAATGGTATACCTCAGAAAAGTGTTCTAGGACCGATACTGTACCTGTTATACAGAAGTGACATACCAATCATCGACAATGCTAATATTTTAACTTTTGCAGCTAATATTGGACGAACAATAATTGTAAATCGTAATGGTGTACACTCCAATAGCATTTTACAGTATGTTCGCAATAGATTTGTTAAACCAATTCACGGTAATTTTGAAATTAAATACTAATATATAATATAATAGAGAAGATAAACAACAAGCATTGTATTACATCGAAAGAAAAACAGCTGATATACAACAATACCCTCAACACTATAGCTTTGATTTTGCTTACTAAGGAGCACGTTATTATTGTATCAGTTTCGTATTAAAATCCGATAAACGATAAACGATAAACGATAAACGATAAACGATAAACGATAAACGATAAACGATAAACGATAAACGATAAACGATAAACGATAAACGATAAACGATAAACGATAAACGATAAACGATAAACGATAAACGATAAACGATAAACGATAAACGATAAACGATAAACGATAAACGATAAACGATAAACGATAAACGATAAACGATAAACGATAAACGATAAACGATAAACGATAAACGATAAACGATAAACGATAAACGATAAACGATAAACGATAAACTATAAACGATAAACGATAAACGATAAACGATAAACGATAAACGATAAACGATAAACGATAAACGATAAACGATAAACGATAAACGATAAACGATAAACGATAAACGATAAACGATAAACGATAAACGATAAACGATAAACGATAAACGATAAACGATAAACGATAAACGATAAACGATAAACGATAAACGATAAACGATAAACGATAAACGATAAACGATAAACGATAAACGATAAACGATAAACGATAAACGATAAACGATAAACGATAAACGATAAACGATAAACGATAAACGATAAACGATAAACGATAAACGATAACGATAAACGATAAACGATAAACGATAAAACGATAAACGATAAACGATAAACGATAAACGATAAACGATAAACGATAAACGATAAACGATAAACGATAAACGATAAACGATAAACGATAAAAACGATAAAAACGATAAACGATAAACGATAAACGATAAACGATAAACCGATAAACGATAAACGATAAACGATAAACGATAAACGATAAACGATAAAACGATAAACGATAAACGATAAACGATAAACGATAAAACGATAAACGATAAACGATAAACGATAAACGATAAACGATAAACGATAAACGATAAACGATAACGATAAACGATAAACGATAAACGATAAACGATAAACGATAACGATAAACGATAAACGATAAACGATAAACGATAAACGATAAACGATAAAACGATAAACGATAAACGATAAACGATAAACGATAAACGATAAACGATAAACGATAAACGATAAACGATAACGATAAACGATAAACGATAAACGATAAACGATAAACGATAAACGATAAACGATAAACGATAAACGATAAACGATAAACGATAAACGATAAACGATAAACGATAAACGATAAACGATAAACGATAAACGATAAACGATAAACGATAAACGATAAACGATAAACGATAAACGATAAACGATAAACGATAAACGATAAACGATAAACGATAAACGATAAACGATAAACGATAAACGATAAACGATAACGATAAACGATAAACGATAAACGATAAACGATAAACGATAAACGATAAACGATAAACGATAAACGATAAACGATAAACGATAAAACGATAAACGATAAACGATAAACGATAAACGATAAACGAAACGATAAACGATAAACGATAAACGATAAACGATAAACGATAAACGATAAACGATAAACGATAAACGATAAACGATAACGATAAACGATAAACGATAAACGATAAACGATAAACGAAATAAACGATAAACGATAAACGATAAACGATAAACGATAAACGATAAACGATAAACGATAAACGATAAACGATAAACGATAAACGATAAACGATAAACGATAAACGATAAACGATAAACGATAAACGATAAACGATAAACGATAAACGATAAACGATAAACGATAAACGATAAACGATAAACGATAAACGATAAACGATAAACGATAAACGGATAAACGATAAACGATAAACGATAAACGATAAACGATAAACGATAAACGATAAACGATAACGATAAACGATAAACGATAAACGATAAACGATAAACGATAAACGATAAACGATAAACGATAAACGATAAACGATAAACGATAAACGATAAACGATAAACGATAAACGATAAACGATAAAAACGATAAACGATAAACGATAAACGATAAACGATAAACGATAAACGATAAACGATAAACGATAAACGATAAAACGATAAACGATAAACGATAAACGATAAACGATAAACGATAAACGATAAACGATAAACGATACTAAACGATAAACGATAAACGATAAAACGATAAACGATAAACGATAATAACGATATAACGATAAACGATAAAACGATAAACGATAAACGATAAACGATAAACGATAAACGATAAACGATAAACGATAAACGATAAACGATAAACGATAAACGATAAACGATAAACGATAAACGATAAACGATAAACGATAAACGATAAACGATAAACGATAAACGATAAACGATATAAACGATAAACGATAAACGATAAACGATAAACGATAAACGATAAACGATAAATCGATAAACGATAAACGATAAACGATAAACGATAAACGATAAACTAAACGATAAACGATAAACGATAAACGATAAACGATAAAACGATAAACGATAAACGATAAAAACGATAAACGATAAACGATAAACGATAAACGATAAACGATAAACGATAAACGATAAACGATAAACGATAAACGATAAACGATAAACGATAAACGATAAACGATAAACGATATAAACGATAAACGATAAACGATAAACGATAAACGATAAACGATAAACGATAAACGATAAACGATAAACGATAAACGATAAACGATAAACGATAAACGATAAACGATAAACGATAAACGATAAACGATAAACGATAAACGATAAACGATAAACGATAAACGATAAACGATAAAACGATAAACGATAAACGATAAACGATAAACGATAAACGAATAAACGATAAACGATAAACGATAAACGATAAACGATAAACGATAAACGATAAACGATAACGATAAACGATAAACGATAAACGATAAACGATAAACGATAAAACGATAAACGATAAACGATAAAACGATAAACGAATAAACGATAAACGATAAACGATAAACGATAAACGATAAACGATAAACGATAAACGATAAACGATAAACGATAAACGATAAACGATAAACGATAAACGATATAACGATAAACGATAAACGATAAACGATAAACGATAAACGATAAACGATAAACGATAAAACGATAAACGATAAACGATAAACGAATAAACGATAAACGATAAACGATAAACGATAAACGATAAACGATAAACGATAAACGATAAACGATAAACGATAAACGATAAACGATAAACGATAAACGATAAACGATAAACGATAAACGATAAACGATAAACGATAAACGATAAACGATAATAACGATAAACGATAAACGATAAAAACGATAAACGATAAACGATAAACGATAAACGATAAACGATAAAACGATAAACGATAAACGATAAACGATAAACGATAAACGATAAACGATAAACGATAAACGATAAACGATAAACGATAAACGATAAACGATAAACGATAAAACGATATAAACGATAAACGATAAACGATAAACGATAAACGATAAACGATAAACGATAAACGATAAACGATAAACGATAAACGATAAACGATAAACGATAAATACGATAAACGATAAACGATAAACGATAAACGATAAACGATAAACGATAAACGATAAAACGATAAACGATAAACGATAAACGATAAACGATAAACGATAAACGATAAACGATAAACGATAAACGATAAACGATAAACGATAAACGATAAACGATAAACGATAAACGATAAACGATAAACGATAAACGATAAACGATAAACGATATAAACGATAAACGATAAACGATAAACGATAAACGATAAACGATAAACGATAAACGATAAACGATAAACGATAAACGATAAACGATAAACGATTAAACGATAAACGATAAACGATAACGATAAACGATAAACGATAAACGATAAACGATAAACGATAAACGATAAACGATAAACGATAAACGATAAACGATAAACGATAAACGATAAACGATAAACGATAAACGATAAACGATAAACGATAAACGATAAACGATAA